ACAACTTTTGGGAAAGCAAGGCAATGTGAAATTCAATGGAAACTTCAGCTCTACTCATATCATTGTGAGAAAATTCTACTAACAGTCCTTCATCACCTTAAACGAAATAGGGTGAATAAATCTCATATGACTGATTTACTGGTAGTCTCGAAACTCTACTCAAACACGAAAGATATATAATGGTTTAGCTAATTAGCTTTTATATGGGTTATGCTACTTTTGTTCGAGTGTGTGTGTGTGTGTTTGAGTTAAGAGCTATACTTAATACTGGTCATAACTCAGATAGATCAAAAAAGCCTAATGTCAGGCTCTGATCATCAAGGCTTAATGACCCAAGACCAAGCTCTGAACGAGAATGCGTAAGGCCGTAGCAACTATGGTTGAGATAATGGGATGTAAACTTGTAAGCCTGTAGGTCAGGTTATGAAACTAACAACCCAAGAAAAAGCCTGACTGGGACCGCGCAATCTCGTACGTCTGATTTGGGTGATCAGCTTAATCTAGCAGGTTGTACAAGTGTAAGTGAAGTCAGAACCATCATTAAGAGGACAAATTAAGTCGACTTCTTTTGGGTGGCAAGTAAAATTGAAAAAGAACCACCTATGTAGAAAAATTGGGTTTAGAAGAATCACTTAATAGGTTGCTATTGGAGTACCGTTAATTTCGCGTCTTCTTGTCCGTCGCAAGGCGGACGAAAGCTCAGCAAGGATTCATCGGACATAGTCGCACAAAACTAGTCACAGCTCCAAAGCAATCCCTCTACAGCTTCCAGTGAGACCAACTAACGAATTTCTTCCACTCGCCTCTTCAAACGAAATGAAAGGTACTCAAACATGAATCTATTAAGGGATTATTAGAAACCCAGTTTTTCTAAATAATAGGACTATATTTTGCTGAATACTCACCAGCACGAAACCGACTTCTTCGAGAAATCAGGCAGACTGTGACATGACAACGAGGCCGCAGTGAGCTCGGAAGCTTCGGTTCTGATGTAAGGAGGTTGGTACGGCTTAAGTAAGCAACTTCGGCAGGGTTTACCTCAGATACATTATCAACGGAGATGCAGCCAGGCAAATCCCCGGAAGCATCTGCAGCGATAGAGATCGTGGAGCTGGGAGCAGCCATGCTACTGGAAGTAGAAGAGGGAGAAAATGAGGGTACACGGGCACTGCTTGATGGTTGGTTGTGCTCGAAGGGATATTGCTGAATAGGCGCAGTGGGAACTGAGTGATCAGCAGAGCAGAAGAACTTTATCGATCATGGTGTGCAAAAGATTGTAAAAGGTCAGGTATGGTATATTTAAAAAGTTAGTGAAATACTTAAATAAAAGATAAGTACCTACAGTTAAAAAGAACCAACAATTAACAAGGATAGATTTAAGAAGTGGGGAGATATCTTCCAAATTCTTTATAAAAAACTGTGAAATAGGTAAAATTAAGTATCGTTCTTAGTAAAGTCGCATAGTAATTCAGAGAATCAAGTTGTAAATTTCTTCAAAATCCACATTATTAATTCATTCAAGATAACAATCATGAAAAATTTTACCACCAGAAATGTTCAGCCGAGGAAATTAATAAAAATAATTAAACTGAACGCGATTTTATTTGATTTAGCTAAACATTATAAAAAGGTACAAAGAAAGGGGTAAACATCCTAACTTATGCGAGCTCTAAAAATAAAAATACTATTCATGCATGAACTGGCCTCGTTCCCTTCAAGAGCCTTGGAATTGACGGTTTTATATAGGAAAGACTAGCAATATTGTAATTTTATTTTAAGCTATCCGCTATTAGTGGTCATTAACTGAATTTCTATTATATGGGTATATATGTGTTTGCCCTGTTGATGCCGAACCCAAATTCATATATGGAATGATCAATTCTAGTGTCTTTTCGGATTTCTTAAAATTTCGTTAGTTTGGTGGATACGCAACGAGTTGCTAAGTTACGCAAATGTATGGTTTTCCGTTTCTCTTTGGGTTATAAAAATTGTAGTATTTGCTATATGAGAAAACATTTTGGAAACTAGGCTTGGTAAAATTTGAAGAAAATGTAACATATTTAATAAATTTCGTCTTAGGCGGCTAAATTATCGGGCCTTTAATACACAAAGCAAAATATATTGCCAATCTAATAATAGACAGACGAAGATTTACAGTTTGATAGAGAGGAGGCATGAATATTCTGATAATCGCTCATCAGCTTCAATAATAAAACTTATCAAAAGTTGTTTATTATCGGAAAAAATAAGTAAAGCAATAGAAATATATAAATATACTATAGGGTTTTTCTACGGATCATGACTGAATGTTAATGTGAATCCTCATTAGTGTAGAGTCATAAAACTATGACAAACATAATTCTCAATAGGTCATTCGCTGATTATAGAGCAAGCACTGTTTTTGTAAGGATTATTTTATTATATAATTGTGGACAAAAAGATTAAAGTTAATTAGGAGTATATCTTCACATTCGAACTTGAGCAAAATAGTTGGCTAGTACGATAGGGATGAAGGATTTAGTGTATAAATTAATTAATATTCCTACTAAAAGATTATAAATATATACAGTGTAAACTGAGTCACGCCTAGACTACCATTAACCATATATAAGTTAGAATTAAGTTTTACAAAATTATGCTTCGGTTTTACGTTATTTCAAGGTTGCTAGCAAAGCGTATCAGCGAATAGCTTGGCGGGATTTATTATAAGTCACATAGCCGCTGAGGTGATATTTAAGTAGGTCAAGATAAGAATAGTTTACATAGATGTTGCTAAGTTTGCTTCAGATTATGTATAGCAAATAGTTTGTTTAACAAGAGAATGAATAATTTGAGACATTTATTCGCAAAGTATACCTTAAGTAAGAATATGTAGCTTCTTTTCAGTCGTAAAATCACTATTAACAATTAATAAGAGAAATGCATTCTTTATTATTGCACAATGTTCAGATTCGAAGAAATGTGTCATGAATGTGCTCTTGGTAATTTAATTCTTTATATCGAAGGTGTGAAGACCAAGATGGTGCGGCCTTTTATGCAATCGCAGTCTCCTTTCGTTGTATAGAAATTGTTTGACCTTGTTTTCGCAACTTGGTCATATTGGTAGGAAGACTTAAATGAAAACACCTTGTCCGGAGTCGATAGTATATGCATGATAATTTCCAGAGTCCGACCGTGGAAGTGGTACATTCCCAAACGTTTTGCCGGGATAGTAGTCAGCATCGTCAGTGATTCTTGCCAGTCTTAGCACCACACTACAACTCGTCAAAGAGACAAGTAAAGCCTATCCTTTGACAATTGGCTGCTAAACAATCGTGGTATCTCTTCTTCTGCCCGGGCTAATCCCCAACCCTATATCCCCGTACACGCCTCCATAATCACAATTTTTACTTGTTTATTTAAATGTTGTATGGTATGCCCTTTTGAGCGGCTCTCATGGGAACTCTTCACACTCCACGCTGGCGTTCTCATCCCCTTTTCATCCTTGTGCTAGGAATGTTGATCAGATTCTGCCATATTGTTATGCAGTCCTCTTTCAATAGGTCTTATCAGAGTCTCCCTCTTGCCCCGAAGGATCCGTCTGTTATCTCTCTGGTTCAAGTACTTCACTCGACCCTTGCCACCCCCTCTATGCTACTCGAGGCGTTATTTCCCACACTCTGCCTCTGGAAGACTAACTTGAGTCTAAAGCCCCTGAGTAATTCGCATGATCAAGCCATTGCTTCATGGACCACGTCTAGTCTTCGCTGCGTCTATCCTGTCTCTATCCCTAATACTAAGTCTATGACATGCTATGCCTTAGTCTCTAGTGTACCAACGCACAAATGTTGTGGTACTGGTTAATTTGATTAGGTTCAGTGTTGAACCACAACGTTTGTGGGTTGGCATACAATTCTTTATACTTTCTTTTATTTTGAGTCATATTGGCACTTG